GGTTTTAGAGGGTTTATTGTTAGGGTTTTAGAGGGTTTATTGTTAGGGTTTTAGAGGGTTTATTATAAGGGTTTATCATTAGGGTTTTAGAGGGTTTATTAGGGTTTTAGAGGGTTTATTAGGGTTTTAAAAAGTTTAAAGGGGTTTAGGGTTTATTAGGGTTTATTAGGGTGTTGTAAGGGTTTAGGGGCGTCTTAAAGGGTGTATGAGGGTTTTCTCGGGGTTTTGGAGGGTTTTGGGTTTAGGGTTTAGGGTTTAGGGGTTTAGGGGTTTGTTATTAGGGTTTATTAGGGCTGTTTTAAGGGTAAATCATTAGCGTTTGAAGGGTTTATTACTAGGGTTTATTAGGGTTTATAATTAGGGTTTATTAGGGTTGTTTTAAGGGTAAATCATTAGCGTTTGAAGGGTTTATTACTAGGGTTTATTATAATGTTTTAAGGGTTTATGAATATGTTTTAAGGGTTAATTGTGTGTATAGATTTTCGCTTGGCTTGCGGCCCCTTTGAACGTCTGGAGACAGCCGGCAGCCGCATGCAGCAGCTGCTTAGAGAAGTAATAAAGACAGCAGTATTAGCTGTACCTCATTCACCTTCAGAAGAGTCGCTGCTTGCTTCTCTTATACTTGTCTCTGAAATAGAAAGACGCGTTGCTCTGTTAGAGAGAGCAGCAAAATCTAATACAAACCCTCACAGACCTGCGGATACACCTGAACAAACGGAAGACACGTGGGGCCTAGAAGAATAATAAACATCAACATAATTATTTTAATTAATATTTAAATAAGTCAAATAATAATTATAATAATAATAATGTTAAATAAAGAAAGAAAAACACACAAGCATTAAATATATATACAAACAAACAAACAAAACAAACAAACAAACAAACAAACAAACAAACAAACATAAATAAATAAATAAAAGGAGACAGATAATCAAAAGAAGCATCCGCTGCACAGAAGAGAGACAGCTTCTCTGCAATCAAATGCAAGCCCCACTCGAAGTGCACCGTACTGCTGCATGCTTCT